GTAATAAAAAACAACAAAATACATAGATTTTCATAAGACATAGAAGATACACTTGAATCTAATCACATTTTTGCTTTTAAAATTATTAGGTCTTCTCCTTTTTCAGTGGTCATCTTTAGGTCCACTGAAAAGGTAAGAATTATCTTCATCTCACAGATGGAAATTGACATTCAGAGACTTGTTCAGATCACAGGGCCATACATCTCTGAGGGCCACCGCCAAAAAATCATGTTTTAAAAAAATGTTTATATCATCTGTATAATTACAAGCAATTCTACCTTAAAAGGCTCAGATTCTCAAAGGTATTTAGGGTATGTTTACATACCGTTGCTATATAACTTCAGCCCTATAGTGTAGATAGATACTTCTTGCATTGATGGAAGGGGTTTTTCCATCAACCTAGTTAATCCATCTTTATGAGAAGTGATAGCTATGTGTGATGAAAAAATTCTTGGCTGTGTCTCCACAGAGTAAACATAACTTTCAGGGCATGAAATATTTTACAGTCTTGAGTGATGTAGCTAAATTAAAATAATTGTAAAAATGTCATTAGGCTCCTTTGAAATAAGGAACCTACATATCTCTAAAATCTGGGCAAAACTGATTTCCTTGTGCCTATCTGGGTGTTCAAGCCAGAGCAGTTACTTTTACTTACTTTCTTGTCTCTTGCTGTTGGACATTAAAGTATGAATGTCATTTGGATCTAGGTTTCTCTGTATTATGTACTGTCCCTTCTCTGAGCACATAGAATGAAGGGTTACCCATCAGTCATTCTAGATGGGATATGATTACCCCTATTAGTTGCTCTCAAGACCATCATGCTTATATCACAAACAGAGATTCAGCAGAGGGGTGTGTCATTCATTGTCACAGAACTGAGCTCATACATAAGCTATTGCTATTAGGGATTTCTTCAATCCCCTTTGCTATTACTTGGCAGGGTATGATACATACATTCCAGTTCCTGTGCTCTGAAGAAAGAAAGCTAAGTCCCTAGGGTTGGGTTGGTTTTGTTTTTTTCATGCAGTTTACCCTAACCCAACCCTCACCTTAGCTTGTTAAGTGAAAAATTAGTTACATCTTACCAGTGCTTTTTTTGTAAGAAAAATGGTGCTGGCGCTTCAGGCTCAAACTTGTTGAACCAAAAAAAAAAAAAAAAAAAAAGCTGGGTGGGGGCTGAAATGCGATCATGGCTCCTTTAAGAGCTGAAATGCTGTGCTGGGAGCTGGAAAAAAAAATCTTGAGTCCCAAGAAGGCTTTCCATCAAGAGACAAGCTGCTCCAGGAAAACAGGTGCTGGTACGCATGGGGAAAATGCCATTCCTTTTCTGTGTGCTGGGAAAATAGGGGATGGAACACCGTTCCGGGAAGTACCGTCACAAAAAAAAACGCTCCATCTAACTTTTATTTTTAGTGCCAGATTCTGAATGTTATGCCTCATAACTTTGTAATCAACTAATCTTTCTTTCTGTCATTAATAAACTTGTTTTATTATTTTATCTGTCCCCACACACTTCCTTCCTCTCCACTAATGCATTTCCCTACTACTCTGTCCTACCCTCCCCAGCTAATGTGCTCCTTCTACTCATTCATTTTCCCAGTGCTCCCCATTCCCCACTTCTTCCTTTTGCATGTCTGCATTAGGACTACACTGATCTTTCCTCTATTCTTCCACAATAGATACTATATATCGTATTTGTTAAAGCATAAGCTTTCATGGGAAGCAGGCCAGTCTTTGCTTACAGTCCCCCAACCCGAAACAAGTACTCACCAACAACAACATAGCACACCACAGAAACACTAATCTAGGAACCAATCCCTGCAATAAACCCTGTTGTCAACTCTGTCCACATATCTACCCTAGTGACACCATCAAGGCTCCTAACTGTAACCAGTTGGACACGACACTCCTCCCTTCTCTTCACTGCCGAGTAGTTGGATGAACATACCACTCCGCTATGAAAGCTCTTCCTCTTTTCCTTGACCCTGGCTTTCTTATCTACAGATTGTTAGCTGTGGAACTCTGCCTACTTGTTTTTCCCTTTGATATTTTCATTCCCTTTGCTCCTTGTTTCCCGCCCCCTTCTCTTTTTCTTCCCCCCCCCCCTTTCCTTCTCCCCTATTTATTTTGGGTCTGCACATCCTAAACTCAAAACTCCAGTAATCTGAAGAAGTGGGCTGTGCCCAGGAAAGCTCATGATCCCATCTACATCTTGTGGAACTCTGCCTACTTGTTTTTCCCTTTGATATTTTCATTCCCTTTGCTCCTTGTTTCCCGCCCCCTTCTCTTTTTCTTCCCCCCCCCCCTTTCCTTCTCCCCTATTTATTTTGGGTCTGCACATCCTAAACTCAAAACTCCAGTAATCTGAAGAAGTGGGCTGTGCCCAGGAAAGCTCATGATCCCATCTACATCTTTTGTTCGTCTATAAAGTGCTACCAGATCTTTTGTTGTTTTTTAAGTTTAATATGATTTATGTTAGGCTTTTTACTATAGTTTCTTGTTACTTAATGCCATGAGGCCAAACTTTGCCTAGAAATCATATTGCTTAATGTATGCTTAAGAATATGTATGTAGCCTATGGAATGAGTGTGAATGAGTGTGACGTGTGAATGAGGAACCAAAGGCTGTTTAGGATCTGTAAGGCAAACAGACACCCTGCAAAGTGTCGAGTGGCCAGGAAAATCTCTACAAGATGTAACAACACAGCAGAAACCTGAGACTGGCCCAGAGAATGTAAAGCAGCCTGCAGATCCAAAGGGATCTCCCAAGGAACCTCATGGCTGAGTCTCCAGGAAGCTGATGCCTGGCCAGCATTCCAGCCACCTGCAAAATCAAAAGGAATCTACAACGCACTTGCAGCCTGCCTC